GTTGAACCTGAGGTTCATGCGAGAATGAATACAGCTGGAGCTCGAGTTAGGGTCAAAATCGATCCAATTGAGGCAGCAGCAGTACAGGCGACAAGCGCCGAGGGTCTATTCGATAAATACGGTCGGAAACATAGCTATCTGCGGATATCGTTGACAGAGCGATGTAATCTGAGATGTAAGTCGGCTGCTTTTTTGGAGGAAAGTAAAAAATTCCGTCCTTTGGATCAGCAGTATTGATTTGAGTGATTTGACTGATTTCATTGATTTGATTGATTTCATTGATCTGATTGATGATTTGATTTGATTGATTTCATTGATCTGATTGATATTTTGATTCATTGACAGAGCGATGTAATCTGAGATGTAAGTAGGTTGCTTTTTTGGTGGAAAGCAAAAATTTCCGTCCTTTGGATCAGCAGTATTGATTTGAGTGATTTGACTGATTTGATTGATTTGATTGATTTCATTGATTCGATTGATTTCATTGATTTGATTGATGATTTGATTGATTTCATTGATCTGATTGATGTTTTGATTCATTGACGGANATTGATGTTTTGATTCATTGACGGAGCGATGCAATTTGAGATGTAAGTAGGTTGCTTTTTTGGAGGAAATCAAAAAATTCCGTCCTTTCGATCACCAATATGATTGATTTATTGATCCGTCTCATTTCAGGCACATACTGTATGCCGGCTGAAGGCGTTCCACTGAATCCGCACGCAAATCTTCTGACTACTGATGAAATTATCCGACTCGCGGAAGTTTTTGCGGCAAATGGTGTGGAGAAAATCCGTCTGACCGGTGGTGAGCCAACCCTACGAAAGGATTTGGTGGATATCGTTGGTAAATTCTCTCTTTTGAACTTATTTTTCGCAGAAAATTCAGGCAAATTTTCATTTAGGCCCGAAAAAATCCAACATTTTCTAAAAATTTTTGGAATTTTTGGAAAATTTTTGGAATTTTCAAAGTTCCACGGTTCCAAAGTTCCAAATTGGAAAATTTTTAGTTCCATTGGAAAATTTTGCAGCGCGATTGTCCGCGATCCGTGGAATCCGTCAAATTGGTCTCACCACGAACGGTATTGTGCTGGCTAGAAAGCTTGAGCAGCTGGTTGAGGCAGGCTTAACGAAGCTGAACGTTAGTTTGGACA